ATGATGAATATCTCGCGAGCGCCCTACATGCGTTGAGAGTTCCATGTTGGAGGGCGGGGAAAGTACCCTTTTGGCCACTCATCGAGTCCCTAGAATTTTTTTTTACGTATTTTTCAATTTGAGTTTCCCGACGTTCCTCGATCTCTGATTTCGACGGAGTAAAATCGATGTGTTTGGTGTTGCTCGCTGAGAGTGCGACGTAGAAAAATCGATGCCATCATGCACGATCAATTTGCATGCGACCAAAGTGCAATTACATTACTCCAAGACCCCGTCGAGCAAATCTTTGAGAGGTTCTTATTACGTAGCGGCATCAATTATTTCAATGAGAAACTTTTGAGGGCACCGGTCAACGCACCGGCTTCAATCTAATGGAATTTGACTTAGAGATTGATTGAAAAAGTTTTGTATGTTCAAAGAATACTTATAAGTATAGATGAAAAAAAAAAGGAACGTTGAAATTTTAGAGACTAAATTCGTAATTCAATGTCCGAAGTTTTCTGGCTCGAGATATTATTCCCTAGCTTATCACACACGACGCTTTATTACACGTCTCAAATGTGAACTCAACATAAATTACACGAACCTCACATAAAACATCTTTTAAGAATATCCTCTACCTATTTTTTCTCCATATTCAAGCTTTCGAGGATCAAAATTAAGTACCGGAACTTTACTAAATTAGAAAAGAAATTGCGTGGGATATGGAAAAATACACGACCATGAATTTTTTTTTTTTTTACCACGAATTCGATAAGGGGATCTTATTTTATTTCCTTTTGGCCAGTTTCCAACCTTTTTTGATAAAAAGCGGGAGACGTCAAGCCAGAGTCGTCATCTGTAATCGTCACTAGCTCCATCTAGCTGCACTTGCCCTAGTGGCACCGCTAATTGGTCATTGGCCACGGATCAAAGTAGGCGCACACCCCATAAATTAATAGGAATAGATTCCTTCCTATGGGTGAAGCGGACATGGCACGTCACGTCGTTTTACGTCGTTTTGCACTACGCTCATCGTGGTCGTGACCTGGATCGACCGTATCATTGGACATCAAACCTTATTTTAATCGGGTCATTCCTTATCCTTTCTTCCGAGTTCTCTCATTGCTCGGATTGATATCGAATTGAATCTTCCTTTCTGGAAAAAGAAGAGAGTCTAGTTTCATTGTTCCTTCTAGAACAGCGCGAGCAACTCGGAGGGTTTATCGCATCAGATTTGAATCGTTCCGGACCTGTTTTGGTTCGGCGTGAAATTGAATTATTCAAGAAATGACAATCCAATTAACAAATTACCCATGTCGGGAAAAGGATCTCAAGAACGTAGAATTGAATCGTCTGGCGACACATGGTGTTCGGATTTCGCTACCGCAACGATTATAACCGTTAACATAAAAATTTACGGAAAAAATCAAGTCTTAGCATTTCCTCAAAGACCGACCCGAGCCCTCATGCCCCAAATTGAGGCCTCATGTGACCTGGGACCCCGATGCCCAGGCCCGAGACCACGAGGGTAAGACACGGGACCTCACTCAGGAGCGGGCTCGGGACCCCGGTGCCTAGCCTAGACTCGGGGAGGGGGGGAGGGGCGCGAAACGGGGCCTAAGGACACGTGAATCCAAATCCTCGCTTATTCTCAATACAAATTACACTGCCCATGGTAGGGCGGCATGATTGCCGGTCTCGCCAAAGGGAGGGCTTCAGCAAGAGAAGTTTCGTTTTGGTCAAAGCCGACGAGAAAACGTGTGTTTGACCCCGCGCACGCTTCGATAAAACCTCGTGAGAAAAAAAAAAACGAGAGGGACCCGACCGCGGTGGTGGTGGTGGTGGCGGCCAAGAGGGGTGGCGGTACCACCGCGGTGGGGGATGGAGGCGGGGGCTTTTTTCCATGCGCCCTTTTTACTCTGGAGAAGCGAGGAAAAAACACACGCGCACAGCTGGAATTAGCGGAGGACAGCTGGCGGGCGTACGGCGGCGGATACGCAGGACCCGTCGCCGTTCGTCCGCTAATGCTCAGTCCCACTCAGTCCTTCCCTCTTATCTATATACGGAAAATAAGAGGAAAAATTGCCAACGAATCCCCCAAAGCCAGAAGGGCATCGCTTGCCTCCTCCCCCTCCCCGTCTTTCCCCCCACCCCCTCGTGCCTCTTTTGCCCCTCCGACTCGCCCGAAATCGCGATTCGACCACGCCGTTCGTCCTGCGATTCCTACCCGTCCTCCTCCTTCCTTCCTTTTCCAAAGGCCAAAGAGCGTGTGTCTACAGGAGTGAGTTGGTGTGACTTTTGTCTTCTTTCCTACCACCGTCTCGTTTGAAAATGTAACGAGACGAACTAATTTTTGCGCTAATCTTATTTTATTTGTTTTGGTTGCATGTGTTTACATATTGATACGGATGGATGCCCCCGATTCCGTCTTTATACCGAGATCACGCGAGAACTGCACTGGACTTCGCATGGCTAGGGAGCCTGATGGTGCCCCCCCTCAGCCTCGATTCGGTATCGATACCCAACACCGTAGGGGCCAGAACTGCAACACGCGTACTAAACGAGGAAGTACACCCCCAATTATCAACTTCCGCTCTCTTCTTGAACATGCGGTTATGTTGATTTCTCGTTCAGGTCGTGTAGGAATGTTACGACTATTATTGCGATAAAGTTGGAAACTAATTGGCTGATTTGAAGAGCGATAGCACATATTGGCTGATTTTTCTCTTTCATCTGTCGCTATGGCAACTCGTTGACATGTGGGACAGAATTAAAGAAAGAGGACCGAAAAGAAAGCCATTGAGGATTTTTCCTATAAAAAGCTGGCGAACCACGAAGGCTTTGAAAAAATCATAAGAGTATAGGAAATCGATCAACAAATTCATCGGACCATTTCATCGCCGCCACCATGACTTTTTAGCCACGATATAAAAGGAACGGACGGACGACGCACATCAAAACTTTGACCGGCATGCATATTTAGCAACGTGTTAGGTAAGCACTCACGCCGTGGGGGAAAAGAATAATGAAAGGGCAAAGAAAGGGGGAGGGTTTGGTGACCAAAGGACAAAAGAACTCGTCAGGTCCAAACCATCGCTTCCGTCTCGTCCTAGATTCACCAAGGGAGCTCTCGAAATCGACCGATTTAATCGTTCTTTTATCGTCGACGCGATCTGTCGGGTCGTCTGTCTCCAGACATCGAAAGCCAAATCCAATTCAAGCACGCCTTCTTTTCATCCCTGTAGCACGAAAGGGAGCGATTCGAGACAGAGAGAGAAAGAGAAATGGGTCGAAGTTACGTCAACAGGACTCGGTCGTCAGTTGTCTCGATTTCTTCTTTCTTTTTTTCCATGTTCTTGGGCTGTCAACGAGTCATCGCCAAGGTGGTCCCGACGAAAAGCGATGGACGAAAACTCGGGCTTATCAATATTTAACTTTGGGTATTACGATAAAGATCGGCTCCTTGCTTTTTCTTTTTAGGCCGGACGGGATGTTGCGAATGAGAGATTCGTCCATTGGGTCAAAGTCAACATCATGTGGATTGATTGTGTATTGTCTCTCTCTCTCTCTCTCTCTTTCGATCAACCTTCGCGGACTGTCTGTTCGAGGGCAAATCCGAGACTCTTTTTTCTTATTCCTGGGGTCCCGCCCGGGAGAATTTGCAGTCGTGATTGGACCAAAAGGAAAAACTTTTAGAACGAAATGAAACGCATCTACCGTCGCAAAATTCCGATCGAAATTGGCACGTCGCGAGCAGTCTAATCCTTGAAAAACAAAAGGCGGGTCGATGCTTAAACGGAAGACGAAGGTGATCGAGGGACGGGCCTCGCGTGCGTTCGAAACGTACGAAATCTCCCTTTATGAATTTGTGGGCAGCACCTTGGATGAAGCAGTGCTCGTGGCTTGATACACATGGAAAAATAAGGCGATTTGAGTGGATTCATCGAAACTAGTCGAGTCGCGATTCTTGATGTGCGTGTTAAGAAAACGAGAAGTTATTGCTATGGCTTATCCCGTATTAGTTGTTGAAGCAGTAGGCCGGTAACCGACCTTTTCCCGAATCCGACCAAACCCAAACCTGTTTTGTGAATATCTCCGATCCCCTGTGGCAATCGCCCGCACGCCAACCCCGTCGCCCCGCGATAAGTCGAACCTCCTATCCGTTGCCCGCCCCCACGCCTATTCCATTCCATTATGGAAACGCATGTATGTCTGTTTGACAAAATTGATTGAGAATATGTCCTTCATTTTATTTTATTTTATTTTATCTTTTTCGGAAAATCGAAACCTTCTCTGCAAATTATATATCCGATTAGGAACACCGGTTGATAAAGGCGTCGTGGCCACTGATTAGCACGTTTATGCGAACGGTAAGACGAAGCGATTAATCATGATACCGAATTTGGAGGAGTACTATTAATTGCGATCTCAATAGATATGAAGTGAGTCAACTATTGGATCGAATGAATGATGGGATTAACCGAAATCGAAGGTGTTATAAATTCTTCCGTTCATCTCTCGTGGTGTCTTATCTGAAGTACAATATGGATTCGATGCTTCACGCCACTGTAAATACTTCGATAGCATTTTTCACAAAATCAACCAGATCCGATGCGCACGAGTCGACACATGAAAAGAGTGCCCGAGGATCGAACTTTTAGGCACGTCTTGATTCGTTTGCTTAATACGAGCACGAAGACATCACTTAACTTTATTGAAAACCATTCAATGAGATTATGTATCTTAACACACTTTATTTATTCAAAAAATACGATTATTTACGATGTTTTTCATTTTCGCTCTATTTATCAAGAAATGGAATATCTAATATTTTACAAAGGAATAATAATAATTTTTTTAAAAAAAGGACAGAGCTCCATTTATTTCATAAGTTTGGGTAATTTCTTTTTCTTATCACCCCACTCATACGGGGAGGACGACAGCGGAGAAAATCCGCCATTTTCAAGAAATCAAAGGGCAAATCCGTCATTCCGCGGCATGCATAAGTAGCTTTTGAGTTCGCTTTCCAACGCCCCGCTTACTGCAAGAGGAAATCTCTCTCTCTACTCTCTCTCTCTACTCTCTCGCCTTTTTTTTGGGCCTTCGTTCGTTTCATTTCCCGGCGACCCTTCGCCGCGAAAAAGGTGAAATCGCCACCCTCCTCCTCCGTCCCTTCCTCCGCCGGCGGCCGGCGATCACTACCGGCACACGCTCAACCTTCGCACGGAGCTCTCGCACCTTGGACCTCACCGCTCTTCAGCTGAAACAACCCCCGCGAGAGCAACACTCGAACGATAACGCCGCCTTGGGCTTTGCATGATCACGACGGCCCCCTCCTCTCCCCGCACCGAACCGTAAGCGGTGACTCATTGGGAAAAGGGTCGCGGCTTCACCCCGCGACGAAGCCTGGAGAGAGAGAGAGAGGGGACCGAGCGGGACGCGATGAATCGCATCGCCTGACTAGGCGCGGTAGGGGGGAGCCCCTCGGGTGACCGATCGTTAGTGATTGGCGGCGGCGCGGCGGCGTGGGCGGCGAGGAGGCGCGGGCGATGGGGAGGATGGGGGCGGGGGCGATGGCGGTGGTGGGGTTGGTGGCGGTGGCGGCGGTCGCGGTGGCGGGGGTGGCGGTGGGCAGGAGGGTGAGGAGCAGGCGGAGGTGGAGCAGGGTTTTGGGAGTGTTGAGGGAGCTCGAGGAGGCGTGCGAGACGCCGGTGGGGCGGCTGAGGCAGGTGGTGGACGCTATGGCCGTTGAGATGCACGCGGGGTTGGCTTCCGAGGGTGGCTCGAAGCTCAAGATGTTGCTCACTTTCGTCGATACTCTCCCCAACGGGTACTTCTTAACTCCTGTCTCCACCGAGTTTTTTACGCGTCTTTTTTAATGAATTTATTTTGGTGAAGTTTTGAAGTTGTTAGCTAGACTTTGGGTCTATTGTTAGTGCTTGAACGAGCTTGTGTTGCATCGAGTGTCAGTTTTCTTTTTTAGCAGTTTCACTGGATTTTGGTTTTTGAATTGTTTAGTGAAAGAGAGATTGCGTGATTGGTCTCCAGCCTTATATTCTCTTTCTAGAGAGTGTGTACAATAGAATGCATGGATATAACGAGTTCGATGCAATCTAATGAGCGTTACTTGTATCGTGAGGTGCTCTCTACTTTGGGTGGCTATTATGGATTTTCCCCAATTCTATTGTTTTCCTAATGATCCGTATTCTGTACTCAACGGGGTGTTTTTCAGCATTGATCTCGATGATAATGCTAACTATGCTATTCTTATTTGGGTTCTTGTTGTGTTGTGGCGTGAACTACTGTACTAATATTGGTTGGTCTATTGCGTAGTTGCATTTGTCATCCCTTGTGTGAAGAATTGAGATGCTGAGGAGTTAGAACACTATATTCCTTTGATATTCCAGGTTTTTTGTTTGCTTAACTTTGTTCTGTTTTCGTCTAGGCTTTTTTTCCTATATCTTTTGTTGATGCTCAATCCATACAAAGCCCAAAAATTGTCCCTGTTGTTTATACTGGCATGAGCTAAAATTCTTCTCAAGATGAGGTCATTGTTTTTCATGAAATAATCTTTTGTTCCTTTTTGGCCAATACCCTTTTCCGGCAATTGCCCTTTTTTCTGTTTTTTTCTATTCCATTATCCTTTTCCTACAAAAGTTGCTTCTTTTTTCCCATTAGTGCTTTCTTCCAGATGATATCGACACTATTAGCTTTTATCTTGGAGGTGTCATGGCAATATCCCTTTATTACGATATCTGTCTGGCAATCTTCTGTTTTGACATTCGTCATGGAGGAATCAATCTCCTCATCCCTTTTATTTTGGAATATCTTTGTTGAACTTTTCACGTAATGGTTTAAAGCATCAAAGATAATATTTCTCTTCCTCTTTATTCATGGGGGTTCTGATTTGTCTCATTTATACTGAACCGTTTTAAGGAAGGTTTACTTCGTTGCTAGTCTTATTCGTTGTATGATTTTTGGGCTTCAGATGAAACAAATAGTAGAGGGATTTTGTTTCGCTAGCATGTGATGTTCATAATTCTTGAAAAAGAATTAGGTTAGACAGACTTGAGTTTGGTCGTGCTAGTGTTAATTCTTCTTCTATTTATAAATGTCGTAGATTTTGTTGAACTGAGATCTCTATAAACTAGTTGGTGTAGGCCTACTCAATGTGCTTTAGTTGCACGCTCGGCAACTGCCAACTTGGAAATATTAGAGGTCATTTTCTTGAGGATCAGTTTCTGGATGTTGAGACAATTCAATATTTCTTTGCCCCCTTAATTTCTCATTAGTTTTTTATGTGCAAGTTTAGTCTACAGGCACTTCCTACATAGTTTTGGTGCTTTATGTGTATTTTTTGTTTTTCATTTTTCAGGAATGAAAAAGGAATTTATTATGCACTTGATCTTGGGGGCATCGATTTTAGGGTCCTCCAGGTTCAGCTGGGAGGTGGAAGGTCCTCAACCTTGCCTCATTATGTGGAACCACAACCCATTCCCCAACATTTGATGACCGATACGAGTGAGGTGACTCAATGAGGATCTTAAATGTTTTAACAGTATGCTAATTTAATTCTTCCAATTTGCTACATTTAAAGACTAATTCGTGCCTCTGTTGCAGGATCTTTTTGACTTTATAACCAATTCACTCAAGGATTTTGTTCAGAGAAAAGAGAACATTTTTGGATATTCACCAGAGAAAAGAAGGGAACTTGGATTCACAGTCTCATTTCCTGTGAAGCAAACTTCTGTTTCATCCGGGATTTTAATCAGATGGACAAAGGGATTTGCTATTCATGACATGGTTTGTCTCTTTAGTCATTTGTTTAATAGAATCATGGGAAATTTTGACTTAAGGCGATTATAATTTATAGAATCACTTCCTGGTCACATGGTTATGTGCGAGAAGATCTGTGAAATGTTTTGCATGAGCGGAGCGTCAGACATCGTGTTGCCTTGTTTTTAGCCTGGGCATTGTATATAGTTGACATTGGCAAGAGATATACATCAAGCAACTCGATTGGATTTGGTTTTTGCTTTGCACATATCACTATTTCTAAAAACCTATGGAGATTTTCTAAGCTTTTTTTTTCCTATAGGACAAGTAACTTTGTTTTGTAACTAACTGATTCATTTCAGGTTGGAAACGATATCGCTGAAAGTTTACAACTAGCATTGACGAGGAATGGCCTAAATATGCGAGTTGTAGTGTTGGTAATCTCTATTCGTTTGTCCATGAGAATGGTTTGCTTATTAGTTTGTGGAATTTATCACTCTAGAGTAAAATAAAATCTGCACCATTCCGCTCATGTTGCTCGAACTTTTGTTGATGAGAAACTTCATGTTCCTAGTGGGGAGAATAAAGTGTTTCTCCAGCAATCTAGCATACTATTTAGCATATCGCATGATATGGGTTGATGTTAAAAAGTTGTTTGGCCTATTTGGCTTAAACTTGAATAGGATTTGCACTTTACAGGGTCCAAAAATATCCTCTTCAAACAATGTATATGGCATCATGGAAATCTTGTTTTCTGCTGAGCAGGTGAATGACACGGTTGGAACACTAGCTCTCGGACATTATCATGATCCGGACACGGTTGCTGCAGTAATCATTGGAACGGGTACAAATGCCTGCTATGTTGAGCGAACAGATGCAATTATTAAATGCCAGGGTCTTGGCACAACTTCTGGGTTTATGGTACGCGTCAAATTTATCGTTATTCACATGTTACTGTGACTGGGTTTTATATCTTGATTACTCATGATGCTTGTTCCTCTCTTTAGGTTGTGAACATGGAATGGGGAAGTTTCTGGTCTTCTCATCTACCAAGAACTTCTTATGATATCGATTTAGATGCTGAGAGTCCCAACCCCAACGAACAGGTAGATCTTATTTTTTTCAGTTATATCCTTGCATCTTTCCCGCTGGGTTAATGTAAGACCAAGACATTTGCTGTAGGGTTTTGAAAAAATGATATCTGGAATGTATCTGGGAGAAATTGTGAGGAGAGTGATCCTCAGGATGTCCCAAGAGTCAGATATTTTTGGTGCCTCTTTGTCAAAATTGTCAATTCCATTCATTCTGGGGTAGACTCTCTCTCTCTCTCTCTCTCTCTCTCTGATAGTTAATTTGTCCTTTCATGATTAAGCTTTGGATTCTTTAATTATGTTTATGTAAGGGACAGTGTCAGTAGTGCAAAGAATAAGAAATTTCATGTGCTTGTGTATGTGGGCGTGATAGGACCGGACATGCAATTGTCCTTTAGGAATGAAGTGTATGAGTGTCAAAATTTGTCGTATTGATATCGACAAATACACATATATAATACTTTCAGACACATTTGAAATGGTTCTTACCAAATAAGGAAGCTTTTTAGGGAATGTAGCAGATGCTTTTTGGTTTGTAAAGCAACTAGTTTAATTTTGTCATCATGGCATTGGATCATACAGTCGCGTGATCTTGCGCTTTTAGTCTGGACTGAAAGTTTATGTCGTCCAACTAGTCCACATATATCGACCAAAAAAAAAAAAAACTAGTCCACATACTAATAAGTTGATGTCATGGTTCAAGTCTTCTAAATTTCTGGTGGACTTTGAAATGAAATACTGGCGAGTGCTGAAATATCCTGAAGTTCTTGATTAGTGTTGTAAACTCTCAAACTCTTGGGGCAAGAACATGTATAAATCCAAAAAATCACTTGTGATATGACTGATGAGCAATAAGTTAGATCAACGTCTCGTTCCTCGCCATGAAACTTAGGATGAAAAATGGCTTTGCAATGTTTGGCCTCTGTTATTACCTCCATCTTTTGTTTCACTGATGCAAGCTGCTCGTTTGATAATTCCAGAACTCCATCAATGGCCACTATGCACGAAGATAACTCCCCAGATTTGAGAGAAGTAGATAAAAAATGGAGAGAGATGCTGGAAGTAAGTGGTTTGACATGTGCCGGAGCTTTTTTATGTGGCCTTCTCCTGTTGAGTCTTTTCATGTGTTCTTGGGATTGAAATTTTCCATGTCTCTTTTGTGCCTTACCATTCAGGTTCCGGAAGTCCCTAAAAAAGTACGGAAGCTGATCGTGAAGGTATGCGATGTAGTAACTCGCAGGGCCGCTCGCCTGGCTGCTGCCGGCATCGTGGGGATCTTGAAGAAAACAGGTCGGGATGGTGGAAGCATCCCCAGCGGAAGAAGTAGAGGAGATGCCAGGATGAGAAGAACGGTCGTGGCGATAGAAGGTGGTCTGTACACCAGCTACACCATGTACAGAGAATATCTGCTCGAAGCCTTGAAAGAGATTCTGGGGGAAGACGTCGCACGACACGTCGTTCTCAAAGTCACCGAAGACGGTTCGGGCCTCGGAGCCGCCCTCCTCGCGGCCTCGCATTCGTCGACACCACCCAACACTGTGGATAGCGTACAGATGCCTTAGAAAACATCACAGTTTGTTTATATTACTACAGGCCCTTGTAAATTCAGTGCCATGCCATCTTTGCATTTTCTTTGAATCTTAGGTGAAATTCTGTTCATATTACCATATGTTCATTGGATTGGCTGGCTTTGTTCTGCTGTATATTAGTGCCAACAATTTTGAATGACCTTGTGACAAAGTTACTATTCTCTCTCGATTTTTCTCAATTTCTTTTCTTTGAGAAAATTCCGAAAGTGAGTGCATTAAAATAAAAAATAAAGAAGAAGAGAGAATTTTATTTAAAATAATTGAGAGATGTGGAAAAATTATGCTCAATTTCGGACATTCATCAGATTTTTTTATATTTTATCAATATCATTTTACCTAAAGTTTTTCAAAAATTTTAATTAATTGCTACCGAGTCCCAGTCCTTGGGCCTTATGTTCAGGCCCAAGATTGCATCTCGACCCGGCCCACTCTAACTTCTCCTCAGCCATTGCCATCACCATCACCATCACCATCAACCTCCAGCCACAGCCCTCGGCGAAGCGCTCGTAACAGAAAGCCGAGTGCAAGCAGAGTCCGAGCTCGGCGGTCATGGCCACCGACGGCAAATCGAAGCCCGCAGCCGTCGGCGACGGCGCGAAGGGCAAGAAGAGGAAGCAGTATCTCCCTCACAATGTCCGTTTCTCGCTTTCTCTTGACAGTTCACCGAGTCAATCGATTCGTCGTGCACTCGGTTTATATGCTCTCTCTTTTGTTGCGTTACCTTCTTGGCTGATTTCTTCTATCGTTCTTCTTCTCTTCTGGCTCCTGGTTTGATCGCTTGTTCCAGAGGCCGGTGAAGAAGAAGGGATCGTATCCGCTGCGTCCCGGCGTGGAGGGCTTCTTCATTACTTGCGACGGCGGCAGGGAGCGCCAAGCCTCTCGCGAAGCCATCAACGTTATTGACTCTGTATGTACTTCGCGTTTTTTTTGGGTCGCATCGTTGGTTATTCGTTTTGAGCTCGTGCTCTTCCTCGCTGTGGCGTGATCCTTCGATGATGCTCTTTGCTGCGCATAGACTGTCCTAGTTCGACGTATATAATTGTTCGTTGTTGCCGTGTTCGAATTCTCCTTCCGTTGCATTAAATACCTGTTCAGTTCGGGCGTTGGAGGGCTCTTTGAGATTCTGCTGAGCTCATTAGAGAAATGAAGTGGCACCGGTCCATTCGGTTCGCATTTCGGCATTTGCTCGATGAAGCCTACTGCACAATTGTGTTGTAGAAGGAAGATAAAAAGCGGCTTACAGTTTTCTCTTGCTATGGAATTACAACGAGCATTGCAGTCTTGACGGACTCTTAGAAGCCAAAGCAAAGAGATTCCTTATTTTGTAGTGTTTTAATTTGGAATTAAAGGAGTAAGATGTCTAGAAGATGTCATCTTGTGTGGCCTTGGAACATGTTCTGAAGCAGGTGACTTGCAAGAGTTTTGAAATGTTGATCGAGATAAATCTAACAAAAGGGTTCTCTTCTTTCTGTATGAAATGATCAGGCATCCCCTATACTTTCGGTGTTTCACTAGAGGGAACCCTGCGCTATATTTATTCGATACATATTAGTATTCATCTTCATATGCTTTCTGTAATACTGGTAAGGTATCTATAGACTGCTCTTGTTGCTGAAACTGTAGTGCAATAGGTCTTTGCAAATGCCTCGGGGAGCAGTTTTTAAGTTTTGACCTCCTTGCTAGGTGAACTTTATTTAACAATTCCCAGTCCTTTTACTTGATCCTTTGGTGTGAATGTTGAGTTTCTGGCACAGGATATTGTTTTATATCTAGGGATCCCGCAATATCAGTTCTTTTTAAGCTTCTCATATCAAAATAAAGAATAGGATACTGTGACTTTATTGTGTATGAATTAGTAGTCATAACGTCTTAAGGGCTTTTCCTCTCATTTTTGTAGTTCTTCGAAGAGCTACTCTGTGGAAATGGTGCAGCCTCAAAACCTGCAGAAGTAATCTCCAAACCTGCGAATAAGAAGATCAAATTTAGTTACTCCGAATCTGAATCATCTAGTGATGACGATGACAATGGTGATGGTGACGGGGAAGATGAAAATGGTGAAAATGAATCTGAGGCTCATACGGTCGAAGAGGTTGATCCGGGGAATTCTAGAGATGAGAACTCCGAACTTCAGAAGGAAGATAAGCAAAGTCATGACAAAACTGCTGAAACACCGGAGGAACAATGCAGTGGCGCTGGTGAGCCACCTTCAAAGAAACAGTGCCTAGAGAATTGCTCGTCCAAAAGTTCTTTGAAAGACAACAAAGAGGAGAAGTCCATTGATAGGCTTATTGAAGATGAAATTAAAGAACTGGGAGATAAGACCAAGGTATTTGAGAATGAATTTTAGATTTGCCTCCGGTATGGAGTAGAGCTGTGGTTTTTAACTAGCTGAGATGAAGTCCTCGTATTGTCAGAATGGATGATTCTTTGAATGAATTCCATTCTGTTAATTTATGCTGGTTTACCTACTTCCTTTTCCACATCTCTTGTTTTTCTGCCAATCCCACGTGATCCATGCTTCATCCTTCTCTTGCTAATATCTATATGAGTATATATGTCGTTGCTTCTTTTCATGAATATTTAGAAACAGGAACCCAAAATTTAGGGGACGGAATTATGTTTTAATATGTCACATATTAGTTTGTTCAGCTGCAAGGGATCTCTTGACCTTATTTGCTTGCCTAAAAGATATGCAAGGATCTTCATTGTGGGGGCAGGCAGATGTGCGAAAACCAACTTTTGCATACATACCTTGTATCAACAATTTATTTGTCGTTCCTTACCTGTCAACATTGTTCAATTCCTTATCCTGCTGTCGAATTGCTCAACTTTTTGCCTGTCCCCAAGTTGCTCCAATATGCTGTTAACTCCGGTTGACAAGCCTGTGAATTGCTTTTTCATGTCAACCTCAAGTCTTTGAAAGCTAGTTGCTGTTGTTGAATAATCATTCTTGGGTTCTTGTACCGGTGAACAATTGCTTCAAACCACAAATGAGATATTCTTTGTGCAAGCACTCAAAGTTGCTTGACATAATGCTTACTCTAGGTGATGATGTTTGAGATTTCTTTCCAATGGCCATTCTTTGTGTCTTTAGTGAATGCCAATAAGCATGTTGGTTTGATTCTTATATTTACATTGCCATGCGGTAATACAGTTAGTCTTGTAACAAGTATTCTGTTACTTAGCCAAGGTTTGAGAATGAGAAGTATCTGCTGTTGTAGCATTTGGCTTTCTGCTTCCTACTTGAGATACACATTTGCATGGGCATCCAATTGCATCTAATGCCCGTATGCATTTTCATTACTTCTTTATGGTTTTGATTTCTTATCCTTGGAGTTCATATCCTGTGATCGTTTTTCAAATTTTTAAGGCCGTTTTTCCTTTTCGTATTTTTTGGTTTTAATTCTTTTGCAGAAGTAGCAGTTGGCATTTTTGGTTTTAATTCTTTTGCAGAAGTAGCAGTTGGCATGTGCCGGAATTTTGTCCTGTTTCTTTTATTACCATCCTTTACTATTGTTGATTTTATGCCTTGGCAAGTCCAATGTACCTTCAAACTCAAATATCTTTTAGTTGGCCATAGTGTACCTATCATTTACATTATCTGTTCTGACGAGAAACTTCTATTGTATTTAACAGAGGCGATTTGTGACCCTTGATTCTGGTTGTAATGGGGTTATCTTTATCCAAATGCGGAAGCAGGATGGTGACCCTGGGCCCAGAGATATGGTGCAGCACATCATGCAATCTGCTGCATCAACAAGGAAACATATGTCAAGGTCCCTATGTTTATTAGCTTTTGGCTGGATTCCATCAACCTTATGGATTGTGGAAATGCTGTTCTATCACAATCATACTGAAAGCACTGCTGATGTTCGCTCCAAAATTTTTATAGGTTCATTTTGAGAATCTTACCAGTTGAAGTTGCTTGCTATGCTTCAGAAGAAGAAATCTCAAGAGCAATGAAGCCCCTTGTGACAAAATATTTTCCACTTGAAACTGATCACCCCCAAAAGGTATATTGTTGCTTTCATTCGTTCTATATGCCTGACCTTTCCTACATAATTCAACATTTTGTGACTTAGCTACAAAAATTTACAAAATAATCGAGGCAATTATTATACATTTCACTTGTCATTTCTTTGATTTACCAATGTGGTTATTGCCTGAATTAACAAAAACCAAATCATCCAAGAGAGATTATCTGGTAAAATTACCTACAGGGAAAAGTCATCGGGTGGAATTATTTATTTTTCGATGGTACAATTGAGGGTGTCATCTTTACATATAACTAAGAAGTGATAAATATTAAGGATTATGACCAGAATCTATATGATGGGTATTCTAAAACACGGTATAAGCGCGCTTCTTAATTCATGATGCTTCTTGTTTAATTTTAATGCTAATCTTATTCAAGATTTAAAGTTATGGCTACATGTAGCAGCACAATTGTCAGGAGATGAACTGCTCGGCACCGACATCAGTTTTTTTAACGTGAGGACTTAACCGGCGTTGATAAAGGCTCGTGTCTGAAAATTGTAGCATGTAGCGGCGTGATTATGACGGCAAGCAAAATGTTGAATTTGCACTCTATTAAATTGCCACATGAGTTCATCTCTAGTGTCAAATTGTGTCGGATTATTGATCTTTCCCTCACAATCTGCATTTTTTAAGGATTTGACTCTGTGTGTGTGTGTGTGTATCACTTATCACCATCCTCCTTTTCTCTCATCCTGTACCGTACCTCATTGTCCAGGTGGGATAACAGTTCACGTATCAGTAGGTTTTCTGATCTCAAAGTTATGGTCACGCCCTCTTCAGCTGATAAAAAGCTGCAAAATATGAGGATGACATTTAATCGATCTTATATGCTCTGGCAAGGAGAAGGCAAATTTACTAAATACAAAATGTTCCTGAAAAACTCTTCTTGTCGATTTGCTTCGCACTCTCAAAGTATCTTAACAAGGATTTGGTTATAAAAGTCTTACAACCCAAATGGGGTTTGAGAGGAACCGTGAGGGAACTATTAGGGTACTAGCCTTGTTTGCCACGGTGGTCTCTATAAGAAGATACCACTGTCTGTGTTTTGTTAAGCATTTTCTTATAGTATGCTTGATTTGTTTTTTCACTTTACTCTTCTTTTTCTGGTAAAAGAATGATTTGCAGCTCAAGCCCCTCCATG